ATGTTCTTTATTTGTTTGTTGCCCCTGTTTACTCTGTTCCTTTTCTCTTCGCCTACATTTGCTCTTGTCTTCTCTTCACTTCAGGTACAACCTTTCTATGTTCATGTAGCATCTCACTTTTCCCTACCCCGTTGGGAAGTTCTGACGGTTCGTGTCTGTTCTTTCCCACTGCCATGAGCAAAAGCCCAACTGCCTACGGTGGCTTCTTGCTCTCTTTTGCTTAATCACTTCCGATCTCATTCTCATGCCATCACAGTGTACACCTATGGTTACAAGTCTTCTGATGGCGTTGGATTCGCAGCAGTATTTCCAGACAGCGTTGTGTAATGTTATTTATTATCCCTGGCTAGCATTGTTACGGCTGAATTGTATGCCATTCTTGTAGCAATTATCTGTATTGCATATATGCCTGTGTCACCATTTGTGATTGTTTCTGACTCCCTTAGTGCTTTACAGGCTATACAAAAATTTGATACACCTCATCCCCTGATTCTTCGTATCCAGCTTTGGTTATGCCATATGTTTTTTGTTGGGTCCTCAGTCCTGTTGACATACAGGGCAATGAACAGGCAGACACTGCTGCACAGTCAGCAGTACATGTCCTCCCAGTTTCATATAGAGGTGTTCCATTCACAGACTATTTTGCTGTAAATGTTACCCACCTTCGCACCTGTTGGCAACAACATTTGTCTGATCTGCTCTATAATAAACCACATTCTATTAAACCAAGTACAGTGGACCCTCGACCAATGATGGCATCGTATAACATTAAATCTGACTAGCGATACATTTTAACGCAAAAATTTTGCCTCGACTAGCGCTAAAAAACTCGGCCAATGCAATTCGTTCCGTTCGAGACGCGTCCACGTGTGGCCTGCGCAGTGTTTACAAGCCAGCCACCGTGGTTGCATCCAAACATACAATCGGAACATTTCATATTATCACAGCGTTTTTAGTGATTGCATATGCAAAATAAGTCACCATGGGCCTCAAGAAAGCTTCTTGTGCCATCCCTGAGATAAAAAGGGTGAGAATTAGTATGGAAATTAAGAAAGATTTTGAAGGGTTTGGGGCTAACCCTGAGACGCCTATGCCAGTTATGGAATCCATTGTGCCTACTTCAAAGATTAAGTAAATGTGTGCAAAGTGGGTTGAACTGCAAACCTTTATGGATGAAAATCACCCTAACACAGCTATTGCAAGCCATGCTGGTGACTATTACAATGACAATGTTGTGGCCCATTTTAGACAAATCGTAAAGGAACAGGAGATACAGAGCTCTATGGACAGATATGTTGTGTGACAGAGGTCCAGTGACTCTCAAGCTGTTCCTAGTGGCATTAAAAGAAGAAGTAACCCTGGAAAAGGACTTGACACCTCAAGTCCTAATGGAAGGGGATTCCCCTTCTAAACACTAACACCATCCACACACTCCCCTCCTCCCATCCCATCAATCATCACCAGATCTTCAATAAAGGTAAGTGTCATGTAATTGTACATGTCTTCTTCAGTTTGTGTGTATTAAAATTAATATTTCATGTGGTAAAATTTTTTTTTCAATACTTTGGGGTGTCAGGAACGGATTAATTTGATTTCCATTATTTCTTATGGGGAAAATTAACTCGACTAACAATAAATTCGACTAACAATGAGCTCTCAGGAACGGATTAATATCGTTGGTCGAGGGTCCACTATATAGGTTTCTGGCCGTCTTCTTATCAGTGTCGAGGTTGGGAGACTATTCTCTCCTGTCTTCGTATTGGCCACACTCATCTTACTGGTATCTGATGGAGAGGTGCCCTGTTCCACTCTGTGAGAATTGTCAGGTTCCAGTTTCTGTTAGCCATATTCTGTTGGACTGCCCACTCTATCAACGAGCACGCAGAATTTACCTCCAATGTCATCACCGCTCTACTGCCCTTACTTTACCTTCCCTTCTTGTTGATGGACTCTCTTTTAACCCAGACACTCTCATTGACTTTTTGACAGCAACTGATTTACTGCACAAACTCTGATGATGATAACTCTAGCACTCCTCACAGCCCTTTCTACCTCAATCTCTTGCTACCTTCTACCCCTGCACTATCCACTTTCATGCTGCCCTGCTGCATTCCATGCCCTAATAATCATCCCTCTCTTGCTGCCCAATACCCCTGCATCTTTTCCTGCCCTGCTGTGCTGTGTGACCCTTGTAGGTTTAGCACTTCTTTTTTATTATAATAATTTAAAGGCAAGTCCAATCATCGTCCCTACTTAAAAGCAATTGGGAACTCCACTCTCCCAAGTCTAGAACTACACTGCTACTACTACTACACAGCTCAACTCACTTTCCTTAGGAAAGAGGTAGGGCTCTCTGAATGGTTACCTGAGAATGATAGTGCATTTCTTTACTGGCTAGAGGCAATATCAACAATTTCATGTGTTCTGATTAAGCTCTGGAACTTTCCAGATGTTGGCCCTCTAATGGGACCCTAGAACATTAAAGGGCAAAATTGCAGAGCACCACAATCCACCCACCCAGGCACCTCTGCCATCACCACAACCCACCCACCTAGGTACCTGCTACCCTTACTACAACCCACCAACCCAGGTACCTACTACCTTCACCACAATCCATCCACCCAGGTACCTGCTGCCCTCACCACAACCCATCCACCCAGGTACCTACTGCCCTCACCACAACCCATCCACCCAGGTACCTGCTGCCCTCACCACAACCCTCAGAATGTCCCATGGCTTGGTTGATAGCACACTCAGCTACATACTGAGTCTCTCTGGTTCAGTCCTCAGCGTGAGTGGAAACATTGGGCATGTTTCTTTACACTTGCTGTCTATGTTCACCTACCAGAAAATAGGTACCTGGGTGTTAGTTGACTTTTGTTTGTAGGTTGCAACCTGGGGACATGATTAAAAGAACCCCAATGGAAAGAAGACAGGCAGTCCCTGATGACACACTGATTTTATTGGGTTATCCTAGGTGGATAACTCCTCTGGGTTAAAAATCTGAAGAAATCTTATCCTAATACCACATGTGCAGGTAACTGCTACTCTCATTCCCACTCTCCCTCCCATACCACACCTAGTCATTCTTATCATAATTACTACAACACTGAAGATGTGGAAATATGATGCGAGGGTAGGAACAGGAGTGATTGTAGGAAAGAAAAAGGGACCCTATCCTTAGCCCATTATTATTTCTCATCAATATAAATGACTACCAAATACCTCCCAGAAGCTTAAATGAATCTTGTTTGCATATGATGCAAACAGGACAGCCAGGGTTGAAAATAAAGAAAATTAGAAAGAAAATATTATTGTTTCGGAAGGCATCTCTGATTATGGTGTGGGTGTCTATAGTAAAATATGTTTTCAAGTTCTAAAAGATTTTCAGGAGCACATCTGATTCGTTAGGTGAGAATATGCATTATATAATTTACTTTAAAACATGTATAGTAGCACTTTGGTGAAACTTTACCAAGAGTTCTGCAGAACACAAAAGTGCAGCTAGGTAAAGTATATATGATGCATATTTAGAAAATGTTTGTAAATCCAACGGGCAGTTTTTTGCAAGAATTAAAAAAATTTTCACTCGCATACTAAACCAGTCACAAGTGTAGAAACCTGTAACTTTAAATAAAATTCTCCTTATTTAATTATTTGTAGAGCAGAATAAAATGCTCCTTATTTAATTTTTTATAGTGCAGAATAAAAGCTTCTTATTTAATTTTTTATAGAGCAGATTTTATCTGGCTCCAAATGAACAAGGCTTTGTATTGTCATCTTTTTTCTCTAAGCATAAGCAAGTGATAACTGCTGGATGTATGTGATGTCCAAAGTAGTATGTATAATAATTCAACAAATGTTTAATGTGTTTCTGCAGGCCTTTCAGCATAGAAACCATGAAGAGTGCCACTGGCTCAAATGTTAAAGACCTTTACTACCACCTCTCAGGTTCCCATAGGAGCAAGATTTTGAAACTTGAACTTTAAATCCAGTTGAAATTTTAGTAAATTTCAGTTTAAATTGATGAATAAGAATTTAAAATATCATTGTTAATATACAGATCAAAACATTACAGTAAATAAATTATCGGCAATATTGGAAATCTGAGGATTACTTTATATAGTTCTTATTACAGCAAGTCTATATATTCATTGAATAACCTCACTTAATATATATAATATATGCAGCAGTTTCCATCATTTTTTAAAAATGTCTAATTTGTTCTTTTTTTAAATCAGTCTGTCAGATATTGCTTAAGTTCTCTGAATGTCCACCTATTCTGTAATAAGTATTGTTTATATGGTACACATTGCCTCATGGTGTCATTAAAACAGGTATCAGAATATTACGGCCAGGCATATTAGTCCTATGTAGTCGAAGTCTATACTTATGTCACATGTAACTGGGGTAATAACTCTGTGCATATAATAAATAATTTTCTCATAAAAATAAATGTGTTAGTGGTTCTGTAGCCAGAATTATAAAAATGTGTATTTAAAAGCCAAATAGCTTTAGGGTGTAGTTTAAAATATATAGGAGCTCTATATGTTAATTTGATAATTGATTTTTTGTCAAAGATCTTTTTTGATGCATCAAATCTGATAGATAAATATAAAGGCAAAGTAGTTTTTTCTATAAAATTAAGAATTAGGAAAAATGGAGATTGTACATCATATATATATACTATATAGATTAGGCATACCCCAGTTTTGAAGAGCCCATTAGTCACTTAATGCATGGTGTATTCCTAACACAAGTGACGAAATCAGTGACTACAAGTCCTAGAATACTATTTCATTAAGGCTCATGTCTTCATTAAATTTGAAAATGCAAAGTTAAATTATAGCTGTCAGTTGTAGACTTTACCACCTCTGTATAGATATAAAATTGATAACTATATATGAAGTGGTTAACTTGGTATTTTCTATGACTGTTAATCCCTGAGCGTCACACCAATACCTGCATGTATAACTCTAGGTTTTTGTTTTTCGTCGTAGCCACTCACTGTTTGAGAATACCAAGAGGTACGTTAGGGAGACCTAGCTGCCATGAAGACCTGTTAGGACCATTAGGGGTCATGTGCAGTGACCACCCTTGAGCTCATCTTAGCATATATTTACAAATATAGCTAGGTATCTTATTTATAGTCTAAGCAGCTAAAGTATGTCTAGTGTAGTCATCTTAATAAATTTGGAACTCTTAGCTCTTGTAGTTAAACTTAAGAATCTGTTACGTATGCAAATATTTTATGATGTAAATTTAGGCAGTGTTTTTAAATTTAGAGTAATTTCTTATTCTTGCAGCTTTTATGTTGAACTATATTGATGATAGTCAACTGAATATTTATTTCCAGTAAGTCACTCTTAAATTTTTTAAGTACAGTGTATAAATATTTGCTAAGCTGACCTCAAGTGATATTTAAGGATTCCCGACTGAAGTCTGTAATGTCAGGAAAAAGTTTATAATTAAGACAGATATACAGTGAATATCCTTTGCCCTACCTCATATACCAACTGTTGCAGCTCATATATATTTATGTTACAGGCTGACAGCAAAATTAGCCGTGTAAGCATCAACAGAATATTGTTACAGTACAGTATCTATATCCATGTCACATACACCATTTTAGGCCTTTCAACTCACATCAAACATGTTTGCACATAACTGCATACTGCATTGAAGTATCATAAATTGGCAGTAGTGTTAGACACTCTTAAAAAATAAGACATTGGTTGCACTAAATGATAAGAAGGTTTTCTCCCCTGACAAAATACTTCACAGTAATTTTCCTTGTTCGGAATTCTCTCAAATCTGGAAATTATAATTTCAAATTCAGAATGATCTACGAAATTCATACAAATTAAGATTTTGACTAAAATTCCTAATCTTAATTTGGATTTTAATATATAAATGAATTTTTTTTAACAAGATACTTAAAATGTTTTCTGGATTTTTTATTTTTAACATTTTACAGAATTCTAACTTTTCCAGCAGCAATGTATGACATATTTGATTTTAGAGAATGTCTTTTAATATGAGTGTAGTAAAAATAATAATATAAATTTTCCAAATAAGAGCAAAAGCTTAGAATTTCAGTTCAGAATTTTTCTGTGAACTTTTTGGGGAATGAGAAATTTATGCCATTTGAATTATAATTTAGATACCCCAGAGAACAGTTTTTACAGAGAGGAAAAATTAATGTATTTATGAAAGGAATTGGGAAGATCAAAGCTTGGAAACAGTTTGGAAATATTAAAAAAATCTTTGATGCTTGTTGAAAATTTTAGGGAAAATGTGTACTTATTCATGAAAAATCTTCATGAAGGAATTTCCAGTACCACATGTGAAAAAAATTATTGGGCAACACCTCAGACTGCGTTATCACTCTACACCAGTAACAGTATTGTAAAAATATTTCAAGATAATGTCAAAAATAAACAAATCAGGTTGATGCAAAAATTAAGATGAACTTGTGGCATAAAGCAGTGTTTTTTCCATAGCATTGATTCCACTCAATCCTTTGCTTTTTATTCTTTCTATTTTTATTATCTGTGGCTCCCAAGGAATTGAGAGCATGTATATATTAAGGTGGATGCCTTGATACTGGTGAAGGGCTTTTAATCTAAGGAATTGGGGCTACCTTTTCAATCCCTGGATCACATGTGATTACTTCTCATTGCTCATATGCTGTATGATCCCTACAGGTTGAGAGCTTTCCCATTAATACATATTAATAATAATACAAGTTGGGAGACGACCAACTTGTTGAAAAAAAAAAAAAAAAAAAAAGATAATAAATATAAAGATAATAATAGTAATGATAATATAGCCTGAGCATTGAAACCCATTCCTTTCATTAATTAATTATAGAATTCGTTCAAGTTTAAAATATATTTAATAATGGTACTGTATATAAAATTAAAAATGTGGCAATATTTGGATCTAATGCTTAAAAAAATTGCTGTGGTGAATTGAAAGTATCATAAGTAATTTATTGAAATGCTAAATATTTATCACTATCCTTTAAAACTTTCATGTTTTTCTATTTTAAAAGAAAAGTACTTAAATTTATATAACTGGAAATAAAAATTTATTGTAGAGCACGATATTTGTCATAAGATAATATGTCATTAATTATAACTGTATTAAGATAAAAGAAATGTTCTTGTAAAAGCTTAATGTCTCAGATTTTTGGAGATAGGAAAAAATGCTAGTGTTGATCTGGTAGGTGAATGTACTTTTTTGAATACTCTTCAGAGAAAAAATTAAGATATGAATGAGCAGGCACCAACCCAGACATTTTTCCACCACTGCACATTTTGCATTTGTAGTTAATTTTTACAGTTCTCCCTCACCTTATGCAGTAGATGTGTTCCTGGTCTGCAGCACATAGTGAACCCAATATAACATAAAACAATAATTCACTCTGAAACTTTCCAAATTCCACATTTGTAGACTAATACTTATCAAAAAAGAAAATGCTTACTACACATGCATCAAATGGTCATCTACAGACATATTTGGTAAAAAAGCTGTGAAATAAAATAAAATAAAAAACTAGGTAGCAGTCTCTTGGTAGTTTGAGCCTACCTGTTAGGTGCCAAATGTTCATATACCACAAATAAGTGCAGTTGGTCAAAAACAAATGAGAAAAAATAAATCATACTACTTCCCCTTCCTCCCTTCCTCTCTCCCACCAGCTAACCAGCCTGTCTGTGTCTGGAATAAAATGCATACACATTTCCCTACTAATATTTCCACCCTCCACCTCTAGTTCTGGCTTTGTTGGCACAGCCCGACTTTGTCTGGAGGGAGTTCATTTTCTTTTGACTTGGCTCAAGACAAATTGAAAACCATAGGATTTCATTCAGTATATGCCTATTGGATTTTTTTTATTTTTTTCTTTCTGGTCATTCAGAAAGCTTTGGTTCATCTGTCTGGGTGTCCATTTTTTTTTTGACTTAACACAAGACACTTAAATTGAAAACCAACTGTAGGATTCTGTGTAAAATATGCTCATTAGATTACCCACTCCCAAGACTGTTTTTTAGTCATTCTTTCCAAAGAAAACTGTTGAAAACAAGTAGTGGTGAACCTGGGTGATCACAAAAGAACAAATTTATACCGCTTACATTGTATCAAATTACTGCGTAAAGTAGGGGAAACTATATACCAAATTGTATTAATTTGAACTTTGCCCAAAATGAAATAACATATAGATTATACTTCAAAGATAGGGTTGCTTCAAGATGGGCTTTGAACATTGCAGTGAAGAGGAGTCTGGAAGCAGTGATGTTGTTTGTGAGCAAGGTGTGATGGGAATATTATGTAGAAAATTAAGAGTGCATAAATAAGAAGACAATGTAGGATGTAGAATAAGTTGTTTAGAAGGGTGGAACAGAATAGGATGAGAAAGGATGAATAAATCTGGGGTGGCAGGTAGGGGTGGGGTAGGGGTCATCCAAGAGTTGGAAGGGGATGGAGGAAGTTTTAGGTGGTAAGGATTTGAACAACTAGTGGGTCTGTATAAGCACGTGAGTGGAGACAAGTGAATTTTTGTTTTTGACATGTTGGAGTGTGAGCAAAGGATTCAAGGATATTAGTTGGCCAGACTTGAGTTCTGAAAGTAGGAAGTATAAGGCCTTCTTTTAGAAGAAGTGAGGATGTTGTAGCTCAGAGGGTCATTTGAATTGTTATGATATCTACACACTTCTGGCAAGATGGCAGTTGAATGAATTATGGTGAATGTGTGTTCTTCTTGGGTTTCACTACCTTGGCAGGAGATGACTGTTGTTAAAAAAAAGTTCTGTAGTATTGTATATTAGGAATAAGTCCCTTTATTCTTTGAAGCAGTTTTAAGTAGTCAAAACTACCAATTCTCACATTGCTACCAGTAATTTAATTTGACAGTTATGTTTATCTCCAAATTCATGGCCCTAGTTTGCATTAGGATTCCTAGGATATTATGATAAAAACCATTACCTGGAGTTTACCTGGAGAGAGTTCCGGGGGTCAACACCCCCGCGGCCCGGTCTGTGACCAGGCCTCCTGGTGGATCAGAGCCTGATCAACCAGGCTGTTGCTGCTGGCTGCACGCAAACCAACGTATGAGCCACAGCCCGGCTGGTCAGGAACCGACTTTAGGTGCTTGTCCAGTGCCAGCTTAAGTTTCCTCTTGTTAGTCGTTCTCTTTTTTATGGTACTGTGTTCTACATGCCAGAGCACTAAGGCTGCTGGTTCATCAACTTGGTGATGGAAAAGTTCATATCATATATTTCAAAATACAATTTTATGTTTTGTATTCCTTTTCAAGGAAATTATTCACTAGTAAAAGGCATAATATTAAGATGGTATTTTTGAAAGGATGTTTTATCTGTGACAAGTCATGGTAAGTTTTTATCTAGGCTTTGGGTATATAATGTAATTTTTTTTCCTAATTAGAATCAAAATGGTCTTGAGGGGCATTATGAGCACATAAAAAGTACATTATGTAAATTTAGCCTAGGATAACTCTCCTCAAGGAAGGTTCCTTGACACTGGTGAAGGGCTCTTGATCTAGGGAATTAGGTCTGTGCTCCAGTTCCCTGAATTGAGCCTGAATGCCTTCCATCCCTCCCCCCATAGGCACTGTATAATCCTGCGGGTTTGGCACTCCCCCATGATTCTTTCTTTCAACACACCGGCCGTATCCCACCGAGGCGGGGTGACCCAAAAGGAGAAACGAAAGTTTCTCCTTTTACATTTAGTAATATATACAGGAGAAGGGGTTACTAGCCCCTTGCTCCCGGCATTTTAGTCGCCTCTTACAACACACATGGTTTACGGAAGAATATTCTGTTCCATATCCCCATGGAGATAAGAGGAAATAAGCAAGAACAAGAACTAGAAAGAAAATAGCAGAAAACCCAGAGGGGTGTGTATATATATGCTTGTACACGTATGTGTAGTGTGACCTAAGTGTAAGTAGAAGTAGCAAGACGTACTTGTAATCTTGCATATTTATGAGACAGACAAAAGACACCAG